ATGTGAACAGATCCTTAATGCATATTTAACTCAATCTGTAATGGAAAAAGAAAGGTGACACCTGGCTATGAAGCAAACAAATAAGTTATTTGTCTGATCAATTTCAAGTCTGTAAAAATGGAGAAACTTTATAAACATTGCACTAATTAACAGTTAAAACAATATTTTATTTAAAACCAAATAACACAGGCATTCTTTCCAATTTAATTCAGCTTTATTTATATTGCACTAAATCACAACAACTGCTGTTTCCTCAGTGGTTATGGCGTCTGTCCTCATGTCTAAGTCGTTGGCTTGGTCGGGAGTGTTGAAGACAAATGAGCTAGTGGGTACTGATTCAGGGCCATAACCACCGAGGAAACAGCAGCTGCTATCAAATTCCTCAAAAATGGCAAAGTGCCAGGTCTGGACATGGTGTCTGCGGAACTGCTTAAGCACGGCGGACAGTGCCTCATCAATGAAATAACGGACCTTTTCAATTCATCCTGATCATCGATGCGAGTGCCAGAAGAGTGGCGAAAAGGAGTCATTATAAAGCTCCCCAAAAAAGGCAACCTGTCAGACTGCAACAACTGGCGAGGAAACACACTCCTTTCTGTTCCAGGCAAAGTGTCCTCCTCCGAAGACTCCATAAGGCGGTGGACCAGAAACTCTGTGAAGAACAAGCCGGATTTCGCAGTGGCTGGTCATGCATAGAACAGATCTTCGTCTTGCGTACCATCATCAAACAGAGTTTGGAATACCAACAGCGCCTCTCAATTACTTTCGTCGATTTCACAAAGGCATTTGATAGTGTCCATCGAGATTCCCTCTGGAATTTTGCCCGGTCATATGGCATCCCTAAGCAGCTTGCCAAATATTCCAAACTCTATACCTTCATTCCAGTTGCTGCATTCGCACAGAGGAGGGCTACACGGATTTCTTCACCATCGAGACCGGTGTGAGGCAAGGGTGTATCCTCTCTCCCTTCCTCTTCCTTCTTGTCATCGACTTTGTTATGCGGAGTGCCATGGACCAAGATGGCTTTGGGATACCCTGGCATCCACCAACACGCCTGAATGACCTCGACTTCGCAGACATCGCTTTGTTGGCCGACATCCAGAAAAACATTACTACTATGACATCATGCTTGGAGCAAGAGGCAGCCAAGGTGGGCTTACGGATCAATGGAAACAAGACCAAGGTCATGAGGATAGGTTACGTGACGACAAGGGACCCTATTACGGTAGGACTGCAGCTATTGGAGGAAGTGAATCAATTCACCTACCTGGGCAGCATCCTGGCAAGTGATGGAGATGCTGAGAATGACGTTGTGTCGAATTGTAAAAGCAGGTGCGGTTTTTCAGTGGCTCCGGCGGACCTGGTCAACCTCAAATATCGATCTGGCGACGAAGATTCGCCTGCTCAACTCCATCGAGACGTTGAAAACATCAGCCAGAATCGCCAAAAGACTCAATGTGGCCCAGCAGCTATGGCTAAGACGGATCCTGGGGGTCTCCTACTGCGACCATGTCACCAACGAAGAAGTACACCGTCGAACTGCCACACGTCCCCTCCAGGACATTGTGACTGAGCGACATGTGCACTTTGGAGGCCATGTTCTACGTCAACCCCCACATTGACTGCCTAAGCTCGCCATCACATCGAACCCACCCCATGGAAGACGCAAACCAGGTGCCCCCAACATCAACAACCAAACGACCCTATTTGAACAAGCACTTGGCAAAAATGAGAAGGAAAAACTCCCTTTTAACAGGAAGAAACCACCATGGCGTTATCAGAGTAATTTTCTCAGGTGTTGCAAAGGTACTCAAACCACAGAAGGCATCGCATTACTGATTTAACTGGCTTGGGTCGGTTGGGGGACAGGAAAAATCGCTGCACGTAGATAAAATGTGAGAAGAACAAGTGGCGCTGCTGCATTTAGTAATAGATATGAAATGGTTAGATCATTTTACACACACACTTACACATATATACATACGGTGCACACACTGGTCGCTGTCATTGGCCACTGTTAATTTCCTGCGACGCACATCACAGCACATGAAGACAGATAAGGATAAAGGATAAGAATCTAGACAGCCTTGTACGCCATGATTAATTTATTTCATATTCTGCTTGCCTAGAATAAATGTGCAGTTAATATTTTATATTCCTATGTCTTTCCTCATGATTCCAACATGATTATGAGGGAGACACATAGTCGGTGTGCATGTTTGGGAGGCGAGGGAGCGAGAGTGTGAAGGAGACAGAATGAAATCATACGTTCTGTGAATCGCATTGTTAATACTCTTTGTGTCTGTGCAGTGTTGCTAATGTGACGTTTAAGTAATTGAAATTGAAAACAAAATTAGATTGAAAGAGACAATTAAATGGGAACAGGAGATGACTGGAGTAGAAGAAGACTCTGAGGAGAGAGGGAATCACAGCATTACCATATGTAGTTCAGTGTGGGGGAGGAAACGGGTCCTGACACAGTTTTTTGTTTGTGCATCTAAACAATGCAAGAATAAATAGAATAAACCTATCTGTCTTTATTTTTTTCAGTTTATCAGCAAGAAAATAAACTATATAGTTTAGTATTGTAGATCATGTGAATTACTCTTTCGGCCTCAATAACAGGAATGCATACATACACAGCGATAAAGAGAGAGAGAGAGTTACAGATTTCATATAAATTAATAATACTACCCTTGAAATTATGTTATTGTTCATAATTGAAATCTTAAAATAAGCATGCTGAGAGGTCATTGGGTATTAATAGTATAATTTGCCAGATTCACAAAGCAATTGAAGACTCTCAAAAAGCTTCATGATTCTACACTAAAATTATATGATGGAAGTCCCACGCATGCCTCCCTTTGAAAGTGTATGTAGTCATTGTATTTCTGTGAATATACCGTATTTTTCGGACCATAAGGCGCACTGTCGATGAAGGGCTCTGTTTTCATACATAAGGCGCACCAGATTATAAGGCGCATTAGGCAAAATAAAACAGTCAGATAAATCAAACTTTACTCAACTCATTCTTCTTGCTTCCTCCTCACCCGTATCATTGATTGATTAATTTTGAATTCTCTCGCAGCTGCTCTATTCCCATGTTGTTGCAGTATATTAATGACTAACCGTGTTTTGTGGATAGATTATCTCAGTTGTTCTCCTGATTGAAGTTTGGTCCGTTTACAGCAGCCTGCCATGCAATTGCATTTGTCCCTAACCTTCGGGAAGCCTCACGTTAACTTTTGTCGAGTGGAAAAAAGTTAGCGTTCATCCTTCAGCTTCACTATTTATGTTATGCTAACATAGCTGTGTCGCTAGTGATCACGTAGCACATCATTATAGACCAGCTAGTCCAACTTCAGTAACCCTACAAAAGTCACTGCTGTTTGTTTTTTTTGTCTTCATTTATGTTGGAAGTGATAGCAGAGCTGTATGTTTTAATTCTTTCAAAAATCTCTCAGTCAGAACATGCTATATCATGTTTAGGTGGACACTAGCGAGCTAACTTCCTGCTAACTTCTAACTCCGTTAAATTTAATAAATTCAGTTTTCATGGATGGCTGGATGTTAAACTTAATTGTTACACCTGGTAAAGCAGCAACGCTGATGATTGTATTAAAGATGAAAGGATTTAGACAGTTTTTAACTCTCAGTGATGCCACAGTGTTCGTTTGACTTTGGGACCTGAAGCGGACAGAGTTTTGGACCCAGATTACTCCGCGAGGCTCCTGACTACTGTAGCTGTAATGCTACGACAATCCACTAAACGATGCGGCTTCGTAGCTTACGAATGTCGTACTAAAACATATTTATGCACCACATAAAATCGGTTCGAGGTCAGTAAGCACAACCAGAATTCATACATAAGGCGCACTGTCGATTTTTGAGAAAATTAAAGGATTTTAAGTGCGCCTCATAGTCCAAAAAATATGGTACATACAAATGTCTCCACAGATTAATGCAGAGAAATATTTTATGGTGATGAAGTCAGCATGTTGCATTTGGACCTGCATGTCAAAAAAAAAGCTGACCAGTTGACCCAGCCTCTCTTTCTGAGGGAAGTTTGGATGGAAACTCTTGATCTGAACTGGAATCATTAACCTGTGCTTCAAATCCCTGCTCTGCGCCTGTAATGATGTTGAATATTAGAGTTAAAAAAGGCATATTTCTGTATGAAAATGAATAGTCTCTTTAGTGTAGACAAAGACACATGTTCCTGCCTTTTTTCCTTTACATACTCTTGTCATATGGTTGCAGTAGGAGTAAAGGAGCAAGCAGCGATAATAGGAAGTAAGAGCCATAGGCTGATGGAAAAGTTAATTAGAGGCCAGGACAGTCATCTCCACCTTCTGACCCATTTCCACCCCTCCCATCATCTCCATCTGCATCTGTCATTCACATTCCCACGACTGCTAATGAGCGTATTCTGAGGCATACATTATGTCTGCAGCTGTACCTTTTTCCCGGTTTAGTGCAGCTCATCTGTTTTTTTTTTTCTCCATCAGAAAGAGCGAGCTATTCGTTCCCACCATGTCTCCAATTAGAATCCCCTCAATTCATGTTTCTATCATTTCTCCCTCTTCTCTCTATCCTCTTGTTTCTCTCATCTGCCGGTGTTGGAAGCAGGTTGTAAAACAGCGTGCCTTATCCAAATGGAGACGAGCCCTGCGGTCACCGTAGTTTTGTTACTGAGGCAGAGTCACATTATTCTCTTTAGTCTGCTTGTGTGTACGCTTATGTGTGTATATGTGTGTTTTGAGGCTGTGCATGACATTAGCCTCGCAGTCACAGGTAATGATCTCATATCCCCGTTGGTGACTGGAGGCACACAAGGAGAATTATATACACACACACACACACACACTGTGAAAGGGAAAGATGTGGAAAAGAGATTGGTATTGTAATGGTACTCTAATGGGTTACCTGACAAGTGCTTTTTCTTAATGTTATATCCCTCTCTCCCCCCTTCCTTTTTTCTCCCTCGCTCTCTTCTACAGGTGCATTTTCCCTCTTTGAGGAGCAGTGATATGGACACCAGGTGTGGTGACGCTAAGGTATGCATTCACTTCTGAGAGCACACACACTTGTGTGCTTTTAACACGTTATGAGAGGCGCTGCCCTCTCATCTTATTTGTTCAGTTCTACCTTTTATTCAGAAAGTTGACCAAAAATGTGACACTTTGAGAGAACGCTATGTACTGTGTAATACACTTAAGTGTCTGTGTGAATACAATACCCTGTGTGAAGCACTCAAATATCCTCAGTGAATGATAAAGTATGTCAGATGCACATACCATGTCTTGTTTACAGTTCTTTGTTTTGCATTTTGCTGCAAAGCTTATATTTGTTACCCTTTGTTATTCATTATGAAAAATGACTATTTTCAATTTACTGCTAACAGTAGAGTAAACTCACACTAAATGCTATAGACAAATTAGTACCCCAATAAAGCATCAGACATCCATGGATGTTGTTGTCTGGACTAAATGTGGTCAGCCATTCACAGTGTTTAAAAAGATGCCCCTTTGCTTTTAAATGTGGCAGTAAATGGAAAGGTGAAGAGTTTTGACAGAGACCTAAACAGAACTATAATTTTAACCATAAATTCATGCTTACACACAGTAATTTTCCATTGATTATAGGTCTGAAAGATGCCTAAATGGTACTAAGCTTTCAGAAATGGGTTAAACATTGTTTCAAAACTGAAATTTTAATATGTGTACAGATCACAACTAGTTGTTGTTTCTTATTTTGTTTGGTTGTGAATTGTTGTGATCTGATATCCACACAATGTCGGCTCCAGGTACACGTACAAATATTACTAATGGCAGCTTATCTTTTTTTCCAAATATGAAAAGTACATGTAAGTATTGTTCCCATATGCTTAGGTGGAGCAGTGGTGAAAAATCAGCCAAAGACACGGCGAAGAAATCATGTATTTAAGAACAACGTTCCATCATTTCCCATTTTTATCTCAACTTCAATGGAATATCTTTCAATCCTAAAACCAAAAAATGCTGTTTATCAAACAATTTCTGATACATGAAACTGCAAATAAACACAGCACAGTGAAGGTGGTCCCTATCCCAAAACATTCCCCTCCCTCAGTTAGGGATGGGTAT